TTTATGCTGCCTTAAACTTCAAGCATGACTATCTATTATAATTGAGAAATATTGTTGTGAGAGTGTCTAGGTTTTCTTATTTTTAAATCAAATCAATATCCCCTGAAAAAAGCTGTGGAAATTCTCTTTGCAGCAGGTGCTGTTAAGTACTGGCTTGAAGGTGTTGACAGAAAAATGCTGTCAGCTGTTTTTAATTAAACCAATAGTAACTGAGTAATTGATTTAGCAAATAACATCCTCTGTCTTCTGACTTACTTGAAAGTGCTGCCATCTGATTGACTTGGCTTGGGGATATTTTTTTTTTCCCCAGGTGGTGCCCCAAATTATTACCCAAACAGCTTCACTGGTCCTGAGGATCAGCCCCGGCTGAAGGAGGGCTGCACGTTTGCTTCAGGGGATGTGCAGCGCTTCAACAGTGCCAATGAGGACAACGTGACCCAGGTGGGGCTTTGGAAAGGCTTTGTGCTGCTTGGCACACATGAGGAGTGTGTAGGGTGTGTGTTAGTGTGAGTTCTCACAGAATCTCAAATTCAGATTTTGGGCCTTGTTAGGTAGAGGCTCTGACTTGTTTTCTTGCCATTAGTGTCTGGAGAAGGAGTTGTCGGCATGTTTGCCAAAGAAAAACCCTGACAGATTGGCTGCCTTTTAAATGTTTTGAGTATTTTAAGTGTTGCTTGACTAGGAAGTGAAAGCTATTTTTTTTCACTTTTGGGGCTATCAAAATAAACCTTTATTTCCAATGGCCAGGTGCGAGAATTCTACCTCAAAGTGCTGAACGAGGAAGAGCGCCAGAGGCTGTGTAAGAACATTGCGGATCATCTGAAGGATGCCCAGCTCTTCATTCAGAAACGAGCTGTAAGTGCCCTCTTTGGGGTTTATTCCAGGTTTCCTACCAGTCTAGTAACATTGCCATAATGGCTTCTGGAAAGGAAGATCAGGAATTCTCTGAAAAGACTGGATTTTTCACTTGGGAATTCTCATACTTAAATGCGTGCCTGTTTACACAATACGACATCAATATAACATGTTAAAGTAACTTTTTCCTGGGGGGAAGAATGGGACAGGTGTTGAACATATGGTTAGCTTGGTGTTTTAAAAATCAGATGACTGCCAGAGTAAGGTTTTGCTCTAAACAAGGGGAAGGCAGTGAGGGCCAAGGAGGCACTGGATTCTTATCCTTCCCGGGGCAGCTTTGTTTAAATTGGGAATGAGCTCTGTGTGGCATAACAGAAATCGTGTTTGAAGATGTTCATATCTTCTTTATAACTGATCAGAATTAAACTTTTCTTCCTTATGATACCTACTGCTTGTATCCCAGGAAATGTGGTAAAGAACCTTCTTGAATTGGAGGAAAAAAAATTCTTGTTGCCTTTTCTGTTTTGTCTTCCTGTGCAGGTGAAAAACTTCACTGATGTTCATCCTAATTATGGAGCCTGTATCCAGGCTTTGCTGGACAAATACAATGCTGAGGGTGGGAAAAAGGTACAGTAATGATTTTTGTAGCTGCATTTTGACTGGCTGTAAGTTATTTTGGCTTCTCTTGAAAATCCAATGATGTGAGAAATTAGTCTTGATCCCTGTTTGAGCTAAAGGCCAGAAGTCAGTGCTTGCAAAATACCAAAACATCGCTCTAATAACAATTAAATGTTAATTAACTGGCGATGTACAAAGACTGTGTTTCATTTGAGGTTTGTAGGGTTTCTGGAAGGTAACTGTATGTGATATAAAATGTGTTTGGGTTGGTTACCCACCCTTTGAGATGCTAATGAAACATTGCCACAAGCCTTTCCTGGGCTCAGTGCTTGATCCGAAGAACAACAACTCACTTCATTCAGTTTTTTCCTGCAGTTCTTTACTTTAAATGGAACTTGCTCTGAGTTTTTCTGTTGCTTTGTTTTCAGGATGTAATTAGAACATACACACAGTCCACAACTCGTATGTCTGTCAAGGAAAGATCCAACCTGTAAATCTGCAGGGATCTGCTCTGAATTTTGCATCCTTCCAGCTGCACAAGAACCTGTCCAACACTTTAATGAATGTAGCAGACTTGGGCCCAAGCACAGGAGTGTTTTACAGGTGTGATTTACTGAGCTCTCAAGTGCTGTCTGTACTGGAAACCAGGTAACACAAGCTCCAATCCTAGTGCCTTTCAATACTAGTGCTTTACTGCTTGATAACAACTTAGGGAATTTTTAAGCAACTCGTGGATAATAAATTGTCTTCATTTCTAGGAGCAAACAGAAATTTAATCAAAATACTGCTTTTTTTTTTTGTTGTACAACTTTCTTGGCTAAATCACACAGTAGAATTTCTGTAAGGGAACTGTGATTGCCCTCATGGAGAAACTGCTTGAAAAGTTGATGCTGTTCAGTATTTCTAATGAAATAATTATCTGTCTGTATTTGTAAACACATCTCTTGAATTTCATTCTTGGCCTTCCAGAAGTAAAATGATACCCAGGACCTTGAGTAAAATGTTGGTATGTCTCATTCCTTATGATAGAGACAAAGCTAACTACAAAAGTTAATCTAAATACAATTCCATTTTATTCCCAATATATATTTTAAGATAATATTTGCTTACTAATGCTGTGTTGGGATATAACTGACATAAAGGAGGTAGCAAAGGATATTTTCTTATTCCATGCATTGTTCAACTAAATTGATTACACCTTACAGCTCTTTCAGGGGTAGGAGAGTAAATTGTTCTTTCTAATCTGAAAGATTTAAATTCTTTAATTTAAATTCTTTAAGAATTTAAATAGAAAAATGTTAACATGCCAAATGTTTGAGAAATAAACCTTCTGATGCATTAATATTGAAATTCAAGCTCAAGAACTTTCAAAACCGTTCCCAGTGGTTGCTGAAGTTCTCATTTTACTGCAGTAATCTGCTGTTGCTATTTCTTGATCAAGCCAGGGCTGATTTTCAGGGTGATCCTTTAACTAAAGCAGCATGTTTGTATGATTGTAGATATATAGAGAATATGTCTAAAACCTGATTTGAGGCATGTTGTAAAGTTACCCAGCATCTGCAGTTTAGTTAAATTATGCGGAAAAACTTGGACAGTTACGTGATAATTATTGTCAAGCTAAATGCAAAGCATTTTGGAGCCCAACTACTGCTCTTAACTCAGGCAAATGTAAAAAATACAAATCATAGCAGTTTGGGGGTGATTATTTGGGTCAATAATCACTGCATTTCTGGGTCTGCCTTGAGTTGTATTTTGACTAGGATTACTTCCTGATTTAAGTGTGAATTCCCAGGAATGGTGGCAGGTAAAGAAGAGTAGATACTAAATGATGTTCTGTTAAATTTTGGAGAATGTTACTTGCTCTGCAATTCATTTATCTACCGGTCTCTTGTGAAAAATCAACTGGGGTAGAGGTGCAGTAACATAATATGAACTGATAACCTGCTGTATTCTAGGAGTCCATTGGCTTTTTACCTGATCAGGCACATGGGATTACATGATTGGGTGGGAATATTTTGTGCTGGAGAGAATCCTAACAAGGTTTGGAAAAGAGTAAACAAGGCCTGAGCTTCTAATTTTGGTTGTGTCTGCTAAGTGATTTATATTGTTGTCTTCTTTTATTTCTGAAATAAATGGAATGAAAAATCTCTTGGCAACGTGTTTTCTATGCAAATGTCTTCAAATACTTTGTGTTAATCTAGGAAGTTCATACATCCCTTCATCTGTTTTTCTGGAGGTAGTGCAGAAGCTGTAGGTTAGATGTACTTTTTGCAGCTGCCTTTGTTTTAAAAACTCAGTTTTACTCCACAGTTGTGTTTAAATGACTTAAATGACCTGTGTTCTATGCTAAACTGGCCGTGACAAGCGTTGTACAGAAAGCTTAGCTTTTCCCAAAGGTGTGGAGAGCACTAGGCAACACTGGAAGAACAATAATGTTATTTCTTCAAATAAATAAGACAAAAAATCCATTTACAGCTCCTTATTTTGAGAGTAAAGAGACTGTTGACATGACAGAACAGCAGTTTTGTTTTGTTTTTGTGTTCTGTTCCATTAAAATCAAACATTCCTTTGTCAGGTTGTTGCAATGATTTCAGTGATCTGTAAAGCAGAATTGCTCAACGATGTACTTTTTGCAGCTGCCTTTGTTTTAAAAACTCAGTTTTACTCCACAGTTGTGTTTAAATGACTTAAATGACCTGTGTTCTATGCTAAACTGGCCGTGACAAGCGTTGTACAGAAAGCTTAGCTTTTCCCAAAGGTGTGGAGAGCACTAGGCAACACTGGAAGAACACTAATGTTATTTCTTCAAATAAATAAGACAAAAAATCCATTTACAGCTCCTTATTTTGAGAGTAAAGAGACTGTTGACATGACAGAACAGCAGTTTTGTTTTGTTTTTGTGTTCTGTTCCATTAAAATCAAACATTCCTTTGTCAGGTTGTTGCAATATGATTTCAGTGATCTGTAAAGCAGATTTGCTCAATATTTTTTTATTCGTGTTGCATTTTAGATGCATATCTCCAGCAGTGGTTTTGGGAATGAATTTGAAACTAATGTTGGGAAATTACAGCTTCTCCAGCAGTACCTCTTCTTTTAAAGGGCCTTCATTCCTAGGTTATTTTCCCTTCCCCAATATATTTGAACTTGAATAGCCAAAAACCACGAGCAAGTGTCAGAATCACATTTGTTGTAGTGAGCTGTGCCAGGAGATAAGGAAGTTCATGGGATTGCTAAATGTTATGTGGGGAGAAAAAGGGTGAGGTAGGTTTGAATCAGGCTTTCCAGTGCTTCAAAGATGTTGGAAAAAGCCCTGATTTCCTTTCCTTAGTGCTGCTCATTGATGGGAATTGCGGGCTGAGCAGCATTTGGGTATCCATAATTTCAGCTTCCAGTAAACCAATCACTTTGTTTTGCCAAATATTCCATACCTGTTGCTCATCTTGCAGAAGAAGGCTGTTTGTTCTCTGTTTGTATGTCTGGTCCATGAATTCTTGCGGGCAGGTGAGTCACCATTTTCTCACAAAATGTTTTATGAGGGTGATGATGTCCCAGCTCAAGGTTCCAAGGGAGGTAGTGGGTGCCACTTCCCTGGAATTGTTCAAGGCCAGGTTGGACAGGGCTCTGAGCAGCCTGGGATGGTGGAAGATATCCCTGTTCCCTGCAGGGGGATGGACTGGATGGGCCCTCTGTGACTGTACACTGTGAGTTAGATTGCTGTGGGGTGTGGGGCTCCAGCCCAGCGCTGCAGAAGTGAATTGATCCACTGATGATGGGGCTGTGTGTTCTTATCTCCTGCTGATAACAAATTACACAGAGATCTGCAGTGCACGGTAAAGCCTGACCTTTCCCCCCCAGGTAATATTGCAGAGCTCAGCCTGAACTGATGTTTGGGGTCAAAGTTATGTGGTCATGACACAGGTCATGGCATGCAGAGGTGGACTTGAGCATAACTGCAACTCTCACACTGAGGATTAAACCTCAGCAGTGGCCTAAGGTAATTTTGGACAGAATTGGGAAAATAACTGAGGCTCTCTTTTGATTATTGTAAATGAATTTCAGGCAGTTTTGCCAGGTTTGTAGCATTCAGGATGATTCCAGCTGGGATGGATCAGTAAGATTAAGAAGATTCCCAAAACTAGCCCTGTGTTTGCAAAAGTTTATAAAGTGGTGCATTGTTACACAGTCCGGGAAAGCAAATGAAGGCTGAACAACGAGGCAGTGGTGTAAAAATAACAAGTGAGGTATTTTATAGCTGACTGTTAATGATGACACTTTTGCAGCCTGGATTGCAGAGCAGAGCCTGTGTGGTTTAATTGATGAAAGCTTGGACTTTGTCACGCTGGAATTCCACCTAAAGTCAAGTTTCAACCCGGAGCAGCTGGAAATCTTGCACTGCAGGCCTTCAAGAGCTGGGCTGAAATTTGTTCTCAGATTACAGACTAAAGCTTGATAAACTGATAGTTTTACTTTTTAATGAAAAAATTCACTAAATATTTTTACATCCTGCAACTCAGAGCAGTTCAAGTACTGTAAATCTCTAATGGACCAAGTCAGAAGGAAAACTTCCTTTCCTGTTTCATAGCATGTGATGAACCACAGAAATCCCTTATATAGATTTGCTGTGTCTGTTAATTTCAGTATTTATTCTTTGCTTGTTTCTCTCAGGTTCCCCATTTTTAAACTTTGACCAGGATTGAGAACTTTGGTTTTTTTTATTGTGTCTTTGGGGTTTTCTTCCAGTGCAACAAATCCTTGTCCCTGTGATTATTGATTCAGAATTGACACACAAGTAGATACACTTTCCTACCCAAACTAGTGTATGATTCTCTTTTCCACACTTGGCAATCTTTGACCTTGTGTTTAAATGTTGTAAGATTTATTGAGGAAGGAGGGTGATGGCAGGTACTGGTTACAGACTAAGTTACAGTTGCAACACTCCCCAAACTGAATGAAAATACAGAATTTCTGCATAGTCATAGCTCCTGTGTTCTCTACAAGGTCTTAACAACACTCTCAGCTTTGTGGAGGGAAGCTGGAAAACCAGGAATGAAGAAGTTTTTGGTTTTGGTTTTTTTTTTTTTTTTACACTTATTGTGTGTGCGCAGAGTCCAAGGTGCTTTAGCCACTCAGTACTTTACGTAAGAGATTTTATTGGGAAAAATACTTCACTTTGAATTTAAACTTTCAGTATTATTTCAAGTAGGAACTGTCTTCCCTGAACTTCTGATTCCAAGATACTAGTGTAAGAAAATAATGAATTTTTGCCCTTCAGAGTTGCAGGAATCAAGGCTGTATTTTAGAGTAAGCCAGTTAATATTTTGTATTGTTTTCATCATTGCTCAGATTTAAGGAAGATACTTGACTGCTAATGCTGATTTTTTTTTTTTCACTCTGTTTTCATGTACCATAACTTTTTTACAGGAGTGGGATTTTTTTTGTTCTGGGTTTGTTTTTTGTTTGTTTATGCTTTTCTGTTGGGCTATATGACTAATTTATATGTGTTTCCTTCTTTGGGCCTCTCAGTGATACCTTCTTTGTAAAATCTCATCCAGCTATCCAATATTTTCCTGAGGGGGTGCAGGCAGGCTTTCATCTGAGACTGATACTGGTAAGATTGCTCAAAGGTAACCCAGGGAAGACTTGGAAACTGCTCCTGTTTACTCTGGCATTGATCCATATATTGCTTAGGCTTTATTCCATATTTATCCACAGCCCTTCATCTCAGTCTTGCTCAATCCTCTTGCACACCTGTCCTCATTGGAGCACTGTTGGGTCCTCAAACAATGGAAACGTTCACAGCTGTCTTTTTTAATTGCATTTTGATGTGCAGGGGTCCTGAACTAGGAGCCCAATGATGTCAAAGATCCAGAAATCAAATTATGATCTTCAAAATCAGGCCTTTTATCTACCCAATAAATCATTTTCAGAGGCTGCTTAAGGTAATTTTAAAAGGCCTTTTAAAGCAGTGGAAATGTGTTTGTGAGTAAGTGATGCTGTTGTGACTTCTGCTTTATTTCTTAATTCTCCCACAGAGCTTTTGGGAATTGCTTCTTTTATTTGTGAGGGTCAGGCACTGTACTTTGTGCTGTTAACCTCTAAACATAATTGCACTTTTTCCAAGGCAGGAAAAATGGTTTAATAGCAAATCTTTCCCTTGTTCTGGCTGACTGTGCGGGGTTAAAGGTTTTTGAGTAATTCAGCCAATCATTGCACAAGTAGTACAAAGTCCATTTGTTACATCATCAGAGACTTTTTTATATCTTTTTACCTCTCGAGTTTTCTATTTGTTAACTTTGAATTACTGAAAAAAAAAGTGTGGTAACTGCTAATATTTAAGTGGATTTTGTTGTTCCCATAGTCTCCTTTCCAAAAGCTGGTCTTTTATTTCATGGTCTGAGTATGTACTCACTGTAGTACTCACCTGAAACAAAGAACAGGCTTTTTTACTAATTAATGGAAAGATACTGTCTCCTCTCAAGGGTGATTCAAAGTACCTGGGCCAGCCTCTTTCACTGACTCACCTTCTGCCTGGCACAGCCAAAATCTGAGGTGATCTTGGTTTAGCTGCAACAGCAACTTTTGGATTTAACCAAATGTCTGTAGGTGATTTATTTTACTTTTGGTTTACCTTTCTGCAGTATAATCTTAGTCCTGTATAGGTGGGGAGTGTATGTGGAGTGTGCACACGTCTCAGCCCAACACAAAGTACAAAAACCCCTCTCAAACCAGATAAATTTTGAACAGAGCAGAGGCCTTAAGCTGGTTTTAACCACGTGTTTCGTGGCCTTGTGACAATGAGGATGCTCTAGAGAACAGTAATGAAAACACATTTATGTTTTTATTCACTGCATGTGCCCTTGCTACAGTCTAAGTGTTGTTTGTAGTTTATCCTAATTTATTGTAGTTTAGGCACATTGCTGGAAACACCATGTTAATCCAAAATCCTTTGCAGTTTCCAATTCAAGTAAGCAAATGCTGTATCAAGCATTAGACCCTCCACATGAGGAAAATAAAACAAAAAACCCCAAAACCCATGATCAGAGGCCTCTGACATGAAGTTAACTATGTTCAGCTCCACCAGTCCATGATCTGACTTGAGGCCATGCCCAGGCTCAGAAATGCTCAGACTCAGCAAAGAGCTCCTCCCTCTACTAACAATTCACCTTCTGCTCGCCCTGCCCACTCTTAACATATCTGAACCATAACCCCAAGAAAAAACAGAAGAAAAATTCGGGCAGTTTTATGTCTACTGCAATTTTATCCCTCAGTCCTTACTCACTTTCTTCTGCCAGAGAGTCCCTTGTGTTTCCTGCCCCTCAGCTTGCTGGGAATGCAGCCGTGGCAGGCTGTGAATGGTAGCACCAAGCCTTGTCCTTCATTTGTGCAGGTAGGCATCGTGCCAGAGCTCTCCCGAGGTCTTCAGGGAGCTGGGAGAGAGAGAGAGAGGACATGTCACAGGGCTGCTCAGGGGAGTGTTGCTGGGACAAGGGAATGAGGTTTTGTCTGTTTTCTGCTCATTTCCCAGAATCCTGCAATAAGCTGAGCTGGGAGAGACACCCACAAAGATCGAGTCCAACTCAGCCCTGCACAGCACCATCCCCAAGAGTCACCATGTGCCCAGGAGGGTAAAAATAGAGCAAAACAACTCTTGCTCTTAGGATTGCAGTCTCTCCTGCATCCCCCTACAGTTTGGGAGGTTTATTTTTACTCACTGCACGATGTCTGCGAAGGCTGTGAGCAGAGGCTTGCACTGGTACTCGAGGCCATGCTTGGCACACAGGGACTTCACCAGAGGGGCCACCTTCCAGTAGTTGTGCCGTGGCATCGTAGGGAAAAGGCTGTGAACAGGAGACAGGCAAGCTTCAGAGGAAATCCCAATCATTAGTGCTTCCCAGGAATCACCCAGCTCACAATGAGCAGGGTCTGTAGCTGCTCCCAGCTCTTCTTTCCCCCTGCTGTGCTTTTAGCACAAGGAACTCGTAGGAATTTCCTGCTTTCCCCTCTGTTCTTTTCCGCAGTTTGTCTCTAAATTAAATGATGTTTATGGAAGAAACTACTTTCCCCTCCCTCCCTTTTTCCAGAAGTAGCCCTCTCCATAGTACAGAGGAGTAGATGAGCCCATCTTTCATCCTTGCGTATCTCACTCTATAGAGTAACAGCATAAAAAAATCAGCAGAGGTGGCTTTAAACTCCTGTGGCAGACTAAAAACAGGAGATTTCCATTGATCCTTAAAACTTACAACTTGGGATTTACTCTGTTGCTGTTCTTGCATTGATCCTGCCCCTGTTGCATTTTCTCTTGTCATCCTGTGGATCCAGTGAAAGTTGAATTACATGATTCTCTTAAAGGAGTTTAAGTTTTAAAGGCAAATTCATTGCTGCCCCACAACTATTTGTAGAATTCAGAGGAAAAAAGAATAAGAAAGGAAAAAATAAAAGAGAGAAGATATTTTTTAAAAAATGAGGAGAAAGAAAATTCCCTCTTGGGGTGAGTACTCACTGATGCTCAATCTGGAAGTTGAGGTGCCCTGTGAACCAGTCATTGAACAGCGACTGCTCCACGTTGCATGTTGCCAGGAGCTAAAGGAGGGGAGAGAAAAGCAAAGTCAGAGACAAGTCAAGAGTATGTTTAGGAACCAGAGCTCAACCTTGATTTAATTTTGGATTGCCCACGAGTGTGTTATTGCTGTACTCCTTTACCTTTTCCATGACTGAATCCATCAGCCTATTAACCTTCACCTCCCAGCAACCAACAGATTTCACCCTTAATGCAACAGGAGACTTGCTTATGGTTAAAATTTATACCTGTATGGCCACAGTTCTTAAGAAGGGGAAAAATCTTTTACCTGAGTAGACATCCAGTCCAAATTCTTGTCATAGTCGATATCCATTGGGATGTGGTTCATCTGTGAGACCCAGACAAACCAGCTGCTCTCCAGCATCCTGTGCAATGAGATGAGAGAATTCAGTGCTGCGTGAGCAGTGAGGAGCCATTGAAATAATGGCAAAGCCAGACTTAAAGACGTGGCTGAACACTAGCCTTGCTAAGCCAGCACCTGGAAGGACTTCCAAACTCTGGAAGTTTAATATTTCCTTATGAAACTCATGATTATTTCATGTGTTTTGTTTAATACTGACTGATGTTCAGCTTGTTTTATCTTTAGCCAAGGCCCAAACTGATTAGAATCAGTGAAATGATCCAAGGGGCGAGTGTGCTGTCCATTCAAGTCAGTGCTGCTGGATAATACCTGGGCATTTGCAAGCCCAGGCTAAGCTGTTTTGGTTAAATGTGCTCTTTATGCAGCTGCAGACTTAACACCCAAAGCACTGAATGTTGTATGAGGTAAATATTTCTCAATTTGGTCAGCACTCAGTGAAATCTTTGTTGCCACAACTAATAAAACTTCCACTGGCAATTGAACAAAAGAATTTATGAACTAAAAAGTAGGCAAAAAAAAAAAGGTGGTAAAGGAGAATGTGGCAATATAAACATAGAGAAAGGCAGGTACAGATGGAAAGAATGCATAGAAAAGAGGCTGAAGAACCTTCTAAAAAGACATCACCTGAATATAAAATAATATGCCAGGAGACTCTTTGTTTCTAATAAAGATCCGTAAGTATAAAAGAATCTGATGTAGAAGGTCAGCATCCAGGCCAAGTCCTACCAAAACCAGAGAGAACAAGAAAAGCAGATCTTTATAAATTACATTTGCTTATTTATTTTTTAAGCTTCATAGTATAAGAGAATGATTTACTTTCAGCTTTGACAGTTTTTTTCCTGAATGGAATAATCTCGAGCAATCCAACACAAGCCTATGATATTTTCTCACAGCTTGCTGTAAGAGGTGAATCTGAGCATTCTTGCTCAGCAAGGAGCTGGCTCCATGCTCAGAAGGAAGGCTGAAGGTGCCCATCTGACCCCTTTTGGTCACACAAGGAGCAGTACTCACGGCCCAGTACTTCTTTGTGTAGGCAATGTAGAATGTGTGGCAGTGGAAGTAGGTGGGGAACAGGAGCGGAGGAAGAGCTGGAAAGAAAAATGCATCACTGGTGACATCATGGACTGGGTGACATCATCAGCCTGGGAGGGGAAGGGTGCTGAATTCCTGCTCAATCTGGAGAACATTCCAGGTTAGGATGTTGGTTTAGTGCCTTGAAACATTTCTAGGTCTGACAATTAATCTGAGACTTCTTACAAACCTCAGATTTCATCTTAGGCTCTTGACTGAGGAACAGCCATGAATGATTAATTTGAGAAATGGTTTCCACAGCCCAAAGCTTATCTGGCTCTTTATTCCTTGGTGCAAAGCAGGGGAACAACAGGAATGAATATGAAATCCCTTTTGAAGAGCTCAAACTCAGCCTTCCAAAAGGACATCTCACTTGCACTTAAAACCCCAAGAAACCAAAGCAAACCAAACAAAAAAACCCCTGAAACCCCAGACTTTGATACTACTGAAAGATGTGGTATGATATCATAACCCAGAGCCTCTGTGGAGGATGTGGGAGATCTGGGATAAGATGGGTCAGGTCTGGTTGTTAATACTTTGGGGTTTTTTATTGTGTTCTTTGATTCAGGCACCTTTGTTTTTCTCATGTTCTTCAGGTCAAAAGTAGAATCTCCAAGCCCCTTTAATACCTCACAGGGAATTGCAGGAGGATAGAGATACTCACTGATGAAGAAGTATTTGTGTTGGTGGTTGTAGGGCATGTATTTTTTCTTTTTGATCCCAAGCTGTGGAAAAAAAAAAAAAAAAAACAACCCAGAAAAAAAAATATATAAAAAAATATATATTAGTGAAGACCAAGCAATTTGCACAGGTAACTTGCTCTTTTTAATTTCTTTTCCAAAGGAGCTCTTCTTGCACTCTTCCCACAACCCTCATTCCTTGTTTCATGATTCATTTTGTGAAGAATTAGATCTATCAAGGCTAAGTTATGTTAGTGGTCAGAAATATGTATTTTCTCTCATTTTTTCCCCTTATTTCTGCTCTGATTCTCTAAACCTAAATGGCAGTTCAACAATGACCTGGAGAAGAATATTTCACTGCTGTAGCTGCTGTGATGGTGTCAACAGCTGATGGGATCTACAGCAAAAGGGGTTCAGCACTCTTAGGTTGTCACTTCCGGCAGTGTCCAAGCAGGACAAACTGGGAATATCCTACACAGTCCAACAAATTTTGCCCAACTGGAGTTCCAGGAACAGCCTAGGTTTTTCAGTCCTGCTGTTCCTGTCACAGCACACTCTCCTAGAAGACACATCAAAGCCACCCTTTTGCCTGAGCCTCATACATTCATATTAAAATAATAATTCCAGGCTGACTGCAGCCATGCCGTACATTGATTGATGTTTACAAGTTATCTAATGATCATTAATTACTGAGTGGCTGTTCTAGGTCATTAGGTTTCTCCACCATGAATGTGCTGGTGCATTTTCCACCCTATATACAATGCCTTGCATCATGTCTGATTTATTTACATCAACATATCAGCTGTTTGGGAGATTCTTAAAGGGACTTAGAGTAAACTGTAGAGAAATAAACCTCTTTACAGAAACTGCCATCACAACTTAGGTTTAGACTTGCCACACCCATTCACTGACCTCCACAGAGAATTTCTTCCCCAAAGTGAAGAGGAAAGGGTGCATGTCAATGTCAGGGTCCTTGTGGAAGCAGTTGGGTTTGGCATGGTGCTGGGAGTGCAGGAGGGTCCACCATTTGGCAGAGGCCCCCTGTTCAGGGGAAGAACAAAGCATTAAAAGCACTTTCAGAGCCAGAATTCCCTTTACTTCCTGACCCTAATTCTTCCCCCAGTGCTGCACGTGCTCCACAGTCTTCAGAACACACGTTTTTACAGGAAAACCCTCAGAAGTTTTCTAGGGACTCACAATCAAATGGCACATCACAAACTTGTGTAGCAAGTGGTTCCACTTGGTTTTCCTGAATACTGAGAGGTGTCCTAAATCATGCTGTAACCAGGAAGCCTGGACCTGGAGGAGGAGAAAGAAAACTTTAGGAGGGGAGAAAAAGAGGAATTGAGATGGGGATGGTGCCACACTCATCCTTTGCCTTGAAATAAGATTTATTTTCCAGACACTGCTCCCAAGTCACCAGTAGAAAGGGACTGCAGAATCCTGACAGTCCCAAGGTTTCCCCCAGAATATATCTTGCTTAAAGAATCCCAAACTAAGTTTAGTGTGAGCTCTCCACATGCAGAATTTCTTCTTAGTATCCAGATCCTGGCTGTGTTTTTATGGCAAGTGAGGAAGAAAAGGACAAGAAACTGCTCACGTGTGTGTGTGTAGGTTGGTGCAAGTCCACAGTGTGGAATTCATTGCTCACCTGGGAAATGGTCAGCAGCAGCAGGGAGAAAACAAAGGGCAGTAAGGATGTCCCAAAGTAGAAGAGGATGAGCCAGGCAGCTGTATCCAGGAGCAGGATGTGAGCCAGGAGCAGGAAGAAGAAGAGTTGGTTTGGCTCCAGGAGTCCCATTCTCTCGACTGTGGAGCGCAGTTCCCGGAAGTCTTTCACCAGCATTTCCTTGGGAAAGCATCAGGTTTACAAGTATCTGGTTTTAGACAACAGCACTGCTACCTCATAACCCAAAAACCACTCTAATGGGGGGAGAAAGAACAAAGGATCTGGCTAAAAGGGCAAGAGCTGGGTTTAATAAATGTTATCATTGCTCTGCTACAGCTTTTTGTTGAGGACCCAGGAGCAGCCATCACAATGTCTGCATCCCAGTCCCTAAAAAAAATCCTCCTCGGTGCTCATTCCATCAAATCCTTGGCAGGCAGCAGAGGGCTCAGCTGGAAGTTGTGTTTAGTGGAAGCTGTACTTTGTGTGCATGAATTTCCCATGCCACCTTGTGGTAGGTCTTTGCATGAAATTGTTCCTTATATTTGTCTTCACTTTGCTCTTCCCAGGATTAGCAGGGGAGGGTTAAATGCACCTACAGCTGAAGGAGAATATTTATTCCTTTTCCTTTTGGTTAGCTCTTCCTCAAAGCAAGGGAAAGAAGAGGTGATAACTGCTATTTTGGTAGAGTGGCTGTGGTAAGAAAAATTCATCTTCAGGAATTTCATATTTACACATTGTTTTTAAGTCATAGCTCAAAAATGCGAGGAACCTGGTTCTCATTGCCCCAGGAGCTATGCTGATAGAGAAGAACAAGGTGTAATCTCAGAATATTTCCCTTTAGTCTCCTTTGATCTCTTTTGTAAGGACAGACTTACATTTTTAGTTGTCTCAATGCTGGGTTGGTCTGGTGCCAGCTCCCCAATCTGCAGTGGCTTCAAGTACTTGCTCACCAGTGCCTTGTCAACGTGGAATGCCACAAAGGCATCCTGCAAAGGCACAGCAACAAAGGAAAAGAAATCCAGATTTTGTTAAAAAAAAAAAAAATTAAAAATTGCCTTTTGAATCACTCCATTCCTGGAAGTGTCCAAGGCCAGGTTGAAGCAACCTGGTCTGGTGGAAGGTATCCTTCCTTTGTTATCCTTTGTGAGAGAACACAACAATAAAAAGCAGCACTGAGGGCTCCACAGTTTCAGTGTGCAGTGTCACCCTTTCTAAAATGTTTGCATTAATTATACTGATTTTTAAATTCCCTGGGTTTCTTTGCTTACTAAGAGCCTTCTCTCCTGAGCTGCCACCTTTCATGGGTTTCTGCTTTTGGTTAAACTCTTCCAGTTCAATTAAGATAATTTCTTAATTTTTCATAACATATATCCAAAAGATTAAGCAATGGACCTAATGCAAGATGGACAAACACAAAAGTGGCTCAGATCCTGGAGGGCTTAATGATTTGGACATGGAACCAACTACCTACCAACCTGGCTCAGATCCCAGAAACAAAATATGTGGTTCATCCATTGTCTGGGATTTTCCAGCATGCTAAAATAAAAGAAATCTGGCAGTAGTAACTTGAGAAATGAGTGCTGAAATTACAGAATGCAAAGTTCAACTAATACACAATTTGAAATTTAAACTTGATGGGCTGAAAATTATTTTGATTTCCATGAGCCTCAAATATCCCTTATATATGGAAAAAATTGCTGCAGCTTGCAGCAACTACACAAGCACGACCAGGAGATAAGAGGAATCCTGAAGACTTAAGAATCACAGAATGGTTTGGGTTGGAGGGGACATTTAAAGCTCCTCTGGTCCAACCCCCCTGCAAAGAGCAGGGACATCTTCAACTACATCAGATTGCTCCATCCACCCTGACCTTGAGTGTGTCCAGGGGTGGGGCATCTCTGGGTGACCTGTGCCAGTGTTTCACCATCCTCATCATCAAAACCTTCTTCCTTATATCCACTCTAAATTGACGCTTTTTTAGTTTAAAGCTAATCTCCTTTGTCCTGTCCCTCCGGGCCCTTGTCCAAAGTCCCTCTCCGGTTCTCTTGCAGCCCTTTAAGTCCTGGAAGGGGCTCTGAGCTCTTCTTAGAGCCTTCTCTTCCCCAGGCTGAACACTCCCAGCTCGCAGAGGTGCTCCAGTCCTCTGAGCATCTCCATGTGCTCCTCTGCTCTCGCTCCAGCTGTTGCTCTGATTTAACTGGAGCAACACTTCCGATCCCTTTCCCGTGGGCTTGCCCTTTCCCATGGCATGGGGATGGCGAGGCTCGCGCGGAGCGGTCACACTTCCCTCCCCCGACTCCGTCCCATACCCCCATTCCCACTGAGATCGTTCCCAAGCCCTCTCCGCACGACTTTTCCCGGGCGCCCTCCTCCGGCGCATCCCGGCTCCCGCATCCCCGCTCCGCTCACCGTGGCGTCCTGCCCGGCGTGGCTGACGAGGAGCCGGGCCCCTCCCGGGTGTCTCCGGCAGAAGTGGCTGATGTCGTACACCTTCCTGTGGATCACCAGCCAGCGCTCCTGCGGCGCCGGCCCCCGCCCGTTCCGCTGCCCGATCTCCTCCCAGGTGAAGCGCTGCATCCCCGCTGCGGGAGCTCCGTCCCCGTCCCCATCCCCGTCCCCATCCCGCATCTCCCCGCCGCCCCCCGGCGGTGCCATCCTGCCTCCTGCCCTCCCACCTCCCTCCCGCAGCTGCAGCCCCGCATCCCGCTCCGCCGTGGCATTTAAGGGAGGGAGCCGCCCCGGCGCCGCTCCCCGCCTCCTCCACCCGCTCCAGCTCCTCGGGGTTGGGTTTGCCCCCCAAAATTGCCCCTTTCCCACCCTGGTTCTGCATCCTCACTACCCTCGGGTGGGGGTACCTGACTGCTTAGGGGGGTCCCCAGCTGGTTCATTCCATTCCCAGGACAGGTTTAGTCAGAGAAATCTTCCCTTAAAATACTCCTCTAATTAACCAGAAAAAATACCACTCTGTAGCTTCATTTTTGATGTTACAGTCCACAAACCCCTTGGGTGAAACGTGAATTAAGCATATTCTTATGTCCTACTAAAAATACCCAAGAACCTAACCACACCAATCTCCAGAAAACTCAGTATTAACACCTGCTGAAACCCTATATTTCAGTCCAGTTTTCCAACACTCACAGCGAGCAGGGAGCTCCCACTGAGCCCATGGCAGGAGTAATCCTCGAAGCTCTGCCCTGGCTGCTTCTGTTACCTGGGATAAACCTGGGATGGCACACATGGAATGTTGTACCAGGTTCTGATAGCAGGTTGTGAAACTGCTGTTTCTTCCCCTCCCACTGCCCCCTTTTTGTTTGTAAAATTATTAATTAGACTTGGGGACTCCAGGAAATGAGCATTAATTGCAGAACACTTGGTGCCACTCTTCATTTCCCTCTAAACAGTCACAGCATCCACATAATTTTCTCTTGTCAAAAGAGATCCAATCTTGAAAATTTAAAACTGTGATTGACTGAATGATTTCTTTATCTTGTAGAAAACCACCTGTTAAAACCCACAACAGCAACAACCCAGATGGAGAAGCCCACAATTAGGACAGGCTTTTCAAAGTGCATTAATTAATTTATCTTAGATACCATCTTTTGATGATTAATTATTTTGAATTGATTTCTTTACATTTATAACATTTCTCATGCATCTACTTGCCCTTTTATTTTTCTCAGTGCTTGTTTGCTCTTGAGTCTACTTGTGCTGGTAAAGCTCACACTCGACAATGATTCTGCAGTCTAGATTTCCAAAAGAAATGTTGATGCAAAAGAAGAACTCTCATCTAGTTATCTCAATCAAACTGTTTACACAATATTTCCAGCTCTTCTCCTTTACAGGAAGGTGTGAAAATCCTAAAGCTGATTTCTCAGCCCAGCTCCCAGAGACAGCCAGTGCAACAAGGTGCCTTAAAAAGAAGTTTAATAGCTGTTATCATCAACCTGTTTTTCTTGTCCCCAGTCACAGTAGGCACCATTTCCTCCTGATTCCTGGGCTTTGCCATCCCACCATGACATTTGGTGCTTTTTGCAGAATGTGTTTTTATAGCATTTGAGATAAACCACTTCCAGCACACCAGCACATACCTTCAGGAGTGCAGCACAACTCCTTCCTTTTAGCTTCTCTTACGCTGAATACTCAATATTGTATATTCAGCATAAAAGGAGGAAGACTCCACTCCCTTCTTGTCCCGTGTTCATGCCTCTTAGCTACTTTACGGAATTATTAAGGTGGGAAAAGACCCCAAGATCATGGAGCCCAACCTTCAAGATCATCAGCCCAACCTTTCTCTGATCCTAAAATCCTGCACAAGGTAAAACAGGTCAGTAAGACAAGCAGGCAAAAGCTTCCTCCCCAAATGGTTTTTAGTGTATGGAGCACACAAAATAACCCCAAACACCACAACTTCTGCACAATTCCAGTACCTAAAGGAGCTCCAAGAAACCTGAAGATAGACTTTGGACAAGAGCCTGGAGTGCCAGGACAAGGGGGAATGGCTTCAAACTGACAGAGGGTAGGGTTAGATGGGATGGATATTGGGAAGAAATCCTTCCCTGTGAGGGTGCTGAGGCCCTGGCACAGGTTGCCCAGAGAAGCTGGGGATGCCCCATCCCTGGAAGTGTCCCAGGCCAGGCTGGACAAGGTTTGATCCTGGGGATGTCAGGAGACAAGTATGAGCTTAGCTGGAGTTTTAGATTTTTTAAAAACTGCCCTTGAGCACCCAAAATGGTAGTGAGGTTTTAAGAACTCACATGGATTTATGTCAAGCCCTTGTACAACTGAAGCTTCCATTACCTCAGGATGAGCCAGGTAACCTGCTGAGAGAAGGAGCTGCCTGTCACATGCAGGAAACTCATGACATTATCACTGTGTCAGACACTGCTCTGATAAGAATGCTGATAACAGCACCCAGTTCCTTTGTATAGAAGGTCCTTCCAAAAGGGACAATTCTTTTGGGAACAAACCCTTCATTAATCTGCACCACAACCCTTACATCACCAAGGTTCCAGATCCTCAGTTTTTTACCCACATTATTCAGCACTGATTGGTTTTGCAACCTGTCTTTTCACAACAAAGATGTCAGCTGCTAAAAAGATAAGCATCAAATTATGACTCGATAGCTATCTGATAACCATTGTTCCTTCACACATCCCACAGCTTTATGCTCCTGCAACCCAGCCTTCCTTTCCTTGCACTGTACCAAAGCTGCATGATAGTCCTTTCTGGAACTTTTGTCTTAATACATATGTCATCAAGCCTGAAAAAAAAATATTTGGGACAAAACTAAATGAACTTCTTGTGCAGATTAAATTCTGATTTTTTCCAAACTGAACTGTTGCACTTCCTAAGTGATGAATATATTTGCTGCCTGCCAAAGGAACTCCATTAGTTCCCTTTCTGCGTGTCATGAACGTGGCAGATTCTGGAGAGAAACACTGATTAGATGATTGACACCAAAGGCATGAGGAGGTCAAGCACCTTCATAAATGAACAAGCAGGGATCTCCTCTCCCTTAGAGACAGGAGAAAATAGAACAGAATGGAATACAACAGAATATTTCAGTTGAGTTGGTTGCAAGGGACTATCATTTAATCACTTAGATCATTTAGATCACTACAAATATCATGCCTGACCACTTCATGGCTGACCAAAAGTTAAAGCCTCTACCATTGCTCAAAGGCTTCTTAAACACTGCCAGGCTTGAAGCATCACCCACCTCTTGAGGAAAAAGGAAAAATAATAAAAAGAGCACTAATTAAGCGGAGTAACTCAGAGCAAAACATAAATAAAAATATAAATAAATAAATTATTAAATATAAATAAATAAACCATTTAGTCATAAAAATGCAATTTATAAAAGAATGCAAATTGTATCTATAAGTTATTCTTTTGCAGCCTGTAACCTCTGTTTCTTCTTTTTCTTTTCTTATTCTTTTCTTATTCTTTCATGTGGTGCAACTCCTTAGAGGAATGTTCTCTATTCATTCCTCACTATTCCTAGCAGGATCTGAGCAAGTCCTTGGAGTTTACAGCAAACTGGAAGGGACACCATGGCAAGGACTTTTGAGGGTCCAGCTGCTGAGGGCTGTAGAGCTGACTGTGCTGTTTTGCTGATAACTTTGCCACAAAGGGGCAGGGCGCGGCTTTCCTCCTGCCAGCACGGGTGATCAGAAGAGGCCTCTGGGGAGCGGGCAACCCGGGGCGTGGCGACGCAGTTCGTGCAGGCTGGGTGGCAGGTTTCCTCCTCCTAGTGGGGTTTTTATTCTGTTGGTTGGTGGCTTTTGGGTTTTTTTGTTAGTAATGGGTTTTACACGATCAAAAGCTGCAGTTAGTACAAGTGTATGTAGCCAAATAGAAACCTCCAAAAAGGATGTCCAGACCCATTCCCGTGCAGTGTTTGAGCTTATCAGTGGTTCCAGGGGGCATTGCAGAAGAAGCCTGCTTGCGGTGTGAACAGGTGAATGATGCCCTTTTGCTGGTGGCTGAGCTCAGGGAGGAAGTTGAAAGACTAAAGAATATCAGGGAAAGTGAAAGGGAAATCGATTGGTGGAGTTCCACACTTCCACCCTCAAGGGAGGCCCAATAGGAGTCAGAGGACTCTCATGCCTCCCACTGTCAGGCGCCTGGTGGATGAAGAGGAGTGGAAATGGGTCCCTGCTTGGGGAGGTAATAATAAAAATTCCTCCCAACCCCCATCACCTACCCGGGTGCCACTTCAGAATAGGTATGAACCCCTGGATCTGGAGAGTCAGACAGATGGTTTAGAGGAAAATTATCTGCCCAGTGAGCCTCCCAATTACACTTCATCTGTCAGACAGATCACTGCCTCTGGCATTAAAAAGAAAAGAAGGGTAGTCCTTGTGGGTGACCCCCTTCTGAGGAGAGCAGAAGGCCCCATGACCCATTGACCAGACCCACCCCACAGAGAGGTCTGCTGCCTCCCTGGGGCCCAGGTATGGGATATCACTGAGAGATTCCCTGGGCTGATTCAGCCCTCTGAGTATTACCCACTGCTGATACTCCAGCCTGGCAGTGATGGGACTGAAAAGAGGAGCATCAGGGTAATGAAAAGGGACTTCAGGGCACTGAGTTAAGTGGTTGATAGAGCAGGAGCACAGGTAGTTTTCAGGTAGTCCCTTTGGTGGCAGAGAAAAATGTTGAAAGGAGTAGGAAAGCTCACATCATCAACAAGTGTCTCAAGGGTTGGTGGCATCAGCAGAATTTTGAGTTCTTTGATCATGGGGCAACTTATATGGTGCCTGGCCTGCTGGAACCATATGAGCACCATCTCTCTATTAAGGGCAGAAGGAATTTAGCTCATGAACCGGCAGAATTCATTCAGAGGGCTTTTAACTAGGTTTGAAGGGGGTATGGGATGCAGCTGGGCTGTCTGGAAGCAGGCCCAAGGGTGGTAAACCTGAGATAGGAGTGAAATCAGTAGCCCAGCAGAGGTGCACATATACTGATGCACGCAGCATGGGTAACAAACAAGAAGAGCTGGAGGCCATGGTGCAGCAGCAGAGCTGTGGTGTAATTGCCATCATGGAAACGTGGTGGGACAGCTCGCATAGCTGGAGCACTGCACTGGATTGCTACAAACTCTTCAGAAGAGACCAGAAAGAGAGAAGAGGTGGAGGGGTGGCCTTTATATTAGGGAGGCTCTTGATGCCATGGGTATTGAAACTAATGATGATGAAGTTGAATGCCTGTGGGTAAGAATTAAGGGGAAGGCCAGCATGGCTGACATCCTAATGGGGGTCTGTTATTGACCACCCAGCCAGGAAGAAGTGGTGGACAACTTATTCCATAAACAGCTAGAGAATATTT